CCGGGCGGTTTTCTGCAGCCACTGTGGGGCTGGGAGGGGATCGCTGGGTGGGTTTATCTTCCCACAGCTCAGCTCCCAGCCTCTCCTGCTGCCTTTTTCAGCTGCGTCAATGCATGCAAAGTCATTTCCAGTCCCGGGAAGCCGTGGTGGAAGGTTCTATCTGAGGTTTGCCAGCATCTCCTCCATCCCCACCAAGGTTGGGGGTGGGGGCTGCAGGCGCAGGGGTGATTGCATTTACCTAATGGCAGCCACCTGGCTTTTTCCACCTCCATCCTTTGGTGCCTGTAACCTGATTATCCCCCTCGTCCCCTGGGGGCCTGCACTGCTCATCCGTGTTATTGGGTTATCTGACCTCTCCCCAAGTCCTTATCAGCTGCCATAAAAAGGAACTGAAAGGGAGCAGAGCAGTCAGCCCAGAGGGCAGAAATGGCATTAGGCAGCAGCAGCAGAGGAGGAGGATGCTGAGCTGGGCTCCGACAGCGCTGCCCTGCCTGGTGGGGTGAGTGCTGTGGGTCCAGCCTCATGTTTGCCCCAACATGATCGGGTGCCGGTGAGCTCGTCTCTCCCCATGGGAGAGTCCTGCATCCCTCTCGTCTGGGGTGTTCATGGGGGGCAGGGGGTGATTGGAAGTGGATGACTGAGCTGCAGCGTTTGTCGGTCGATGGAGGAGTTTAATCACAGCAAAGTCTATTTTTCCAATTACAGTAGGTGGCTGCACTTATTATAGTTATGACAGATTATCAGAGAAAAAATTTGCAGTGGCAGGAAAGACAGAGGGAAGATTGATTATGTATTAATCAGCTCTCAAACTCCATCCCTGGGGATTTTTTCACCCAGGATTACTGATGAGGTGAAATTCCTCCCTCCATATGGTGCAGCCCTTGCACTGGTTATGGTTTGGGCACTGCAGCAATCCCTGCTCCCACCTGAAGTTCCCAGCTCCCTCCACACTTTGGCATCTTCTCTCTTCTGGGACAAAAGAGCAGATGCTTTTGTGTTGGGCTCAAGGAACAGAGAGTTTTTTCTCTTCCTGTGATGCTCACACATGCACCTCCAAGACTTGAACAGCTTTTTTCACCTTTACTTCTTCCAGATTTTAACAGTTATTGATTTTCATCCCGCTGAACCCCGCAAAAAGCAACATGGATGTTAGCAGAGCCCCAAAGCCCTCCCTTGCCCCAGAACTATTTAACCTCCCTCTTTTCTTGGCAGTTCCCCTGGGCTGTACACACTGGGGAGGCTCAGGGCTGAAACTCAGCCTCTGGAGAGGAAAACTGGCCCTGAGCTGAGCTGGGCATTGCCCCCAGCCCGATGCTTTCAAGCCTGAAAGGCTGCCGGGGGGTGTCTTCTAGGGGACGGCTACTACCTGGCGATCGGCGGGGCTGTGGCCCAGCACAACTGGTCACACATCACCGCTGTGCTGCAGGACAGGAGGTTCCAGTGCAAACTCCTCGACTGCTCGGAGGAGCTGGGCATGATGAGCATCCAGGGTCCCCTGAGGTGAGTATGGGGAGGGAATTGTGGTCCCCTCCTTGCACCCTGAGACGTGGCTGATGGAGGGATGGATACAGCGATGCAGGGAGGGAGGGAGGGCTCAGATGCAGCCCAGGTCCTTGTGTTGGTAGGGGAGGTGTGAGCCCTACGGCACCAAGCAATGCTCTGTTTGCTGGAGAACTGACATTTCTTTCGAGGCTCTCACCGCCTCGCATATCACCAATGTCAGCTCCCTCTCAGAGCGAGAACAAGCTGAAAAAGCAAGTTCCAGTGATAACCTTCAGAGCATGCTGGCGAGCTACACCCTCTCACTGCAGCTGCTTTTGCTGTTTCCCCACAGCCGCGTTGTCCTCCAAGAAGTGCTCGACACCGACCTCAGCAACGAGGCTTTCCCCTTCTCCACCCACAAACTCGCCACAGCCGCGGGATGCACGGTAGGACAGGCCTGCCCCTCCAGCTCTCCCGGGTTCCACTCCACGCAGCTGAGCATCCTCTGCTAGGGACCCCTTCTGCCTCCTCATTGCTGGGAGATTTTGATGTGGGGTTTTTTGGTGTTGGAAAAAGCCAAAAATCAGGGTGGGAGCACCATGTTTTCATCCCCAGCTGCCTGCCTGGCAGCGTCATACCTGGGCTGTGCTTGGGTAAAGGACATGGTCACTTACGACTTTGCAGTGATGTCAGAGGAACAAGAAATGTTTCCCATGGATTAGGGATGAGCAGTCATGATAAAGAGATTTATCTGACACTCTAGACACTCCATTTTCCCCTAAACATAAAAAGAAATAGAGATAATTTAATGTAAATTGTGTCAAGTCCTGGTGGTAAGGCCTGGACAGCCTGCAGATCCGCTGTGTTTGATCACAGAAGTCTGACAGCCTTAAGCTTTCTGTACAAGCACAGATCCTCCTTCGTTTGCCCAGACTTCAGGGCTCACATCAGTGGTTATGAAAGAAAAGCGCAGAAATGGTAGTGCTCTGCACTAACACCTTGGGCTGAGCCCCTCAGCGTTGGTGCGAGGGGACAAGAAGCCCTTTGGGGTGATGGCAAGGTTTGGGAGCGGGGAAAAGTTTTTGCAAGGTTTACTCAGGAAGCTCTGCCTCTGTTTCTTATTTGTGTTTCTCCCATATGATATATTCCTTTCGCTGCGAAAACACCCCTTTGGAAAAGAGGGTCAAGTTTGTACCCCATCCTTCCCATGGGGAATCTGGGCAGGCAGCAGTCCCAGGGCATCCCATGGAGTGTTCGCTCGGGCTGTCGGCTCCATTTCTGATGGTGATGAAGGGGATGAAGTTTCAGCAGTCAGTCTTGTAAAAGGGAGTTAGAAAACAGAGAGCTGGAGGCTGGCTGGATGTTAGTGAAATTGGGTTAAGCCGGGCACGGCCACTTTTCATTCAGAATTAAAGTGACTCTAATTCAAATGCAGCTGGCTGCTGAAGGGATTGCTGCTAAATCAAATTAAGGCTACTTGATTTGTGAACAAGAGCCTAGCCAGGCTGGTGAGGGTGGTTTAACTAAGCCACAGATTTTGCCCAACTCCGATTAATCCTCCAAACCATCACCATCAGCGCAGAGAAAACTCACAGTATGTCCAGTGTCCCTTGGCAGGAGACAGTGACATGAAGGATCCAAAAGCTAATCCCTTGTTGCAGGTTGTCCGATACATTGCATTTTAGTCTCCAGTGGTAACTTATAATCCTCCCCACATGCTCCCTCATCACGCCTGTGATAACATCTCATAATAATCTACTTATCCCCTGGGAAAGGTGTATAAATTTTCTTGTCTCCAGAACCGTGGTTATTTGCATTTTGCTTCGAGTTTACAAAAAAGTAATTCCCTCCTGTGTGGAAGAAATAGCTGGTAGAGATTTTGTGGCTTCTTTTGGGTGTAAATGCTCTGGCTGTCAGAAAAAATGCTTTCCTGCCCAAGGGGTGTGTGAGGGCTCTGGGCTGGGGGGATGACCCTGCCTGCTGCCGGTGTCACCTTTTGGGAGGTCTCCGTCACATCCCCACTGCACGGCGAGCACAGGGCACTCCATCTCACGCCGAAATTAGAGTAGGAGGGTTTCTCGAGACAGTGAGCTGAAGCCTTCACTGATATTATCGCCTTCCAGGAGGATTAAACTGAACCTGACATCTCTAAAAAAGTTATCGCTGAGATTTCGGTGCATTAACTCAGTAGTTGAACAAATTCAGCTGAAGTGAAAGGAGAGTTCCAGCAGAGTTAATGACTCTGGAAATTACCGATTGGTTTGTGAGTTTATATATAGCATATCTCATTGTATTGAACAGCAGAGAAAGGTCCCCCTTTGAATTTCACTGCTGGATACAGGGTAAAGTTCAGGTTTTTGTTTTCTCGAATACTTAAAATGCTTTTGAAATGCTGCTCAAAGACCCAGGAATTGATGTTATTTCATAGCTCCAATTGAAATCTGACAGAAAAGCCTGTCAGCAGAGAACATGCAGGAGCAGCTGAGCCCAGCCCTTGACATCCCCCTCAGCCCCCGTGGTGGGATGCACACCCCTGCCTGGGGTACACACACATGGGTGCAACCCCAGCTCCTGCCTCTGCAAAGCTGTCAGCTGGCACCCCAGTTTTCCTGGGGATCCCTGTTTTCAATGGCACACTGCTCTGCCTCACCGCTCTTGTGGGGATGCCCTCTCCCCTGGAGCAGGAGTTGTTTGAGGGGAAGTTTCTCCCAGGAGCAACTTGCTCCTGAAAGCAAAGTGCACTTTAGCTGCTGTGCAGACTGCTGGGTGGCAGGCAGGGTTAATGGGCTGGGAAGTTGCCTGTCGATCCCCAGAGCATCTGCCGTGATGAAGATTGTAGCTGGCTGTAGCAGCTTGATCTCTGGCTGCTCCCTAATTAGGTGACACCTTTGTGTGGAATGAAAAGCTTCTCCACACCTCCTGTGTCTGTGGACCTCGGAAAGCGATTTCCAGCCTTTGTGCTTCTCTGCGGGGCTGGGGCAGGGACAAAAAGAGGGATGGCACAGCTCCTTGTGAGGAGGCTCAAAATAAATTCTCAATACCAATGGAATTCCTTCCTCCTCTCCACTTCTATTGTAAAGGTTAAGGCATTATAAAAGCTGCCTTAAACTCTGCTTGAGGACATTATTTTTGCAGGGCTTGTAGAGCACAGGCGTGCTGGGGAAGCAAGGATGGATTTGGCTTCTCAGCAGTTGCCCGCTGGCCATACACACAGTGGAGAGCCCAGGCACCCCCTGGTGCTCCTTGTGCCTGTCCCTGCTTAGTTTGGGCCGTGGCTGCTGTTGTCTGTTGTTGTTTATACCCAGGAATAGAGAACACAGCCGAGACAAGCTCTAAGTTGCAGTAAGAGCTCAGCAAAGGCAAAAGGAAGCTTCTGACCCAAACAACATCCAGAGCCAACATGGGCAAGACAGTCCCAAAGCTGCGGGGTGTGCCCAGCCAACAGAACTAGCCTGGAAGTCTCTTCCTAGCTGAAAAGTGCTTTATTAAGACTGCAGATCAAAATCTGGTTTGAATCTCTTGAGTTAATCTCTCTCCCAAAGCGAGATGTGCATTTGCAGTTGATGTGCATCCGAAGGGATGAACCAGAGGCGCTTCTGCGGAGGAGGGAACGGAGAAATCCAAAGGGATGAAGCAGAGGGAAATGAAGCCCAGCCTCAAGGGGTATCTCCAGGGAAGATGCCTGAGCTGGGGTATCCCCAGCCGGCCTGGAAAGCTTTGGGAATGCAGACGGACTCAGTGGGGACAATAGGAGGATGCAGGCAAGCCTGCCTGAGCAAGAAGAGGGGTGGCAGTCCCAGGACAGCCAGGATGTCTGTGCCCCCGGGAGTGCAGGCAGGCAGGGAGGAAGATCTCCAAGAATGAGGCTTCCTGCGAGAAGCACCAATTCCCCTGTGCTGATCTGCTCGCTCCTTTTTAGAGCTTCGTGCATTTGGTGTGGAGCTAATTTGGCAGCAGAGAGTAGTAATGCTTTGGGGCACAACCTCCTCTGGGGGAACCTGAGCATCCTCCCGGATGAGCGGGATGTGGGTCGGGACACGGGGCTCAGCCCCTGCCCAGAAGTGTGGGGCCTCTAGGTACCTCTGCCTTGAGGACATCC